AAAAGAAAATTCAGTTCCCAATTTTTAGAAAAACTAATGTAAATCACATATACAAAAGACTGAAAATCTTATAGCAAAATGCTAATAGCAACCATTCTTTACTAGTGAGTCATGTCTTCACGTGAATTTGTATTTTCCACATTTTATATAATGACTATGTATGACTAATAATTAGAAAAAAATGTAAGGACTGAAGATAATTAATATATCAGCCTCATTCTGCCCAAATGGAGCTGGCATTAACCTTCTGACTGCGAACAACACCTATAGGCATTCAAACAAGACGTTAGTTAGGTGGGAACAATGCCTGTGGGTGTTGTTTACCTTGCAAACAAAAACTTGACTACACATTACTGTTATGCTACCTGACTTGAGGCTGTAAGCATCATATACTTAGTTCTCAATATTTTTCATAGTTGTGCCTGAAATAACTGAAACTAACCAGGGTGAACTGATCAGTAAGCAACCACAGAACGTCCAGTAGCGCTGTGTAGCATAATGGGTGTGGCCCTTGCTGCTCACCTCACTTGGCACGTTTCATTTCTGAGTGCTCCGTAGTCAGAGGGTTAAAGCACCACAATGCAACGGCTCCCAACCTTTTTTGGCACGAGGGACCAGTTTCATGGAACACAAATATCCTTCCATGAGGCAGGGAGGTTCTGATAGGAGTCTGCAAGCAACTGATTTAATGTGATCTCTGTGATAATCTGTATTTGTAGCCACTCCCCAGCAGTGGCATCACTGCCTCAGTTCCACCTCAGATCATTAGGCACTAGATTGTCATAAGGAGCTGCAACCTAGACCCCTCAAGTACACAATTTACAGTAGGGTCCCTGTTCCTATAAGAATCTAATGGCAAAAAAAAAAAAAAAAAAAAAAAGAATTTAATGGCACAGCTGATCTCATAGGCAGTAGAGCTCAGGTGGTGATATCAGTGATGGGAAGCAGCTATAAATACAGATGGAGTTTGTGCTCACCTGCTCTCTGGCTGTTCATCTCCTGCTATGCAGCCTACTTCCTAACAGGCCACAGATCTGTAGCCCTGAGGTTGGGGACCTCAACTACAAAGTACAAAGGAAGCAGTAAGTTCAAATACACTTATGTTATGCAGCCTCAATACAGTCACACTAACCTGAAAAACCCAGTCATGTAAACCAGTCATCAGAAAGCAATAATTTTTTGTCTCCATTAGAAACAGCAGGGTGGGGCTTGGCACCTGTGGCTCAAGCAGCTAAGGCACCGGCCACATACACCTGAGCTGGTGGGTTCAAATCTAGCACAGGCCCGCCAAACGACAGCTGCAACGAAAAAATAGCCAGGTGTTTTGGCGGGCGCCTGTAGTCCCAGCTACTTGGGAAGCAGAGGCAGGAGACTCGCTTGAGCCCAGGAGTTGGAGGTTGCTGTAAGCTGTGATGCCATGGAACTCTGCCCAGGGCGACAGCTTGAGGCTCTGTCTCAAAAAAAAAAAAAAAAAAAAAAGAAAAAAATGGCAGGGTGGGAGTTGGATCATATTCTTTTTAGTAAAGTATCTCAAGAATGGAATAATGTACTCAATACTATTATGTAATCAATATATAATCCCCCCCACATTCATACAAAAGATAAAACACAATTATAGTCCAGAAAGTAGGAGAGGAGGGCAAAGGGAGGGGAGGGGTGGACGGGTGGAGGGAGGGTAATTGGTGGGATGTCACCTATTGTGTATACTGCAAAGGTACATGTCAAATATATTAATAATAGAGTATAAATGTCTAAATAGAACAATTAAATAAGTTAGGTGAATGCTATATTAACGTTTGATGTAAACATTCCAAATTGTATATAAAATCAGCACATTGTCTCAAAATGTGTATAAAGTAAATAATGTACAATGTTATGATCTAATCAAAAATGGCAAGGTGAGGTCTGGTGCAGTGGCTCACACCTATAATCCTAGCACTCTGGGAGGCCGAGGTGGGTGGATTACCTGAGCTCACAGGTTCTAGACCAGCCTGAGCAAGCGTGAGATGCCGTCTCTATTAAAAAATAGAAAAACTGGCTCAGTGCCCATAGCACAGTGGTTATGGCACCAGCCACATACACCCAGGCTGGCAGGTTTGAACCTGGCCTGAGCCAGATGAATAGCAATAACAACTGCAACAAAAAAAGGACCAGGCATTGTGGCGGGCACCTATAGTCCCAGCTACTTGGGAGACTGAGGCAGGAGAATTGCTTAAGCCCAGGACTTTGAGGTTGCTGTGAGCTATGTCACCACGGCATTCTACGCAGAGCAACAGCTTGAGACTCTGTATCGAGAAAAAAAAAGAAAGAAAGAAAGCCAGGTGTGGAGGCTCGGGCCTATAATCCTAGCATTTTGGGAGGCAGAGGCAGGTGAATGGCCTGAGCTCACAGGTTGGAGACCAGCCTGAGCCAGAGAGAGACTCCGCCTCTAAAACTTAGCCAGGGAGTGTGGCCAGCACCTGTGGTCCCAGGTACTTGGGAGACTGAGAATCGCTTAAGCCCAGGAGTTTGAGGTTGCTGTGAGCTATGACTCTGCGGCACTCTACAGAGGGTGATAAAGTGAGACTGTCTCAATTAAAAAAAACAATGGCAGGGTAGAATTCATGGCCCCACCTCTGGCCCCTGGGAAGAGTTATGTGGGCAGCTCAGCAAGAGGCCACTTTCTTTCTGTCCCTACTTCTGCCTCTGTCTTCCTCTGTGTACATAAATATATTTATGTATGCACACACGGGTCACTACGAAAGTTTTTTTTTTTTTTTGAGATGGAGCCTCAAGCTATCCCCCTGGGTAGTAGTGCCATGGCATCACAGCTCACAGCAACCTCCAACTCCTGGGCTCAAGTGAGTCTCCTGCCTCAGCCTCCCAAGTAGCTGGGACTACAAGCACCCGCCACAAC